AATTGCTTCCAGCAATTTTGGAAGGTGGTAGGTGTCACAGAGCGCAGCTGGGGCAGTTGATAGGATGCCTCTCTGGGAGTGGCCTCAGCTGTTCCCAGGTGCACCCTCACTTTCCAGAGGAAGCACATTTTCAGAGTCAGGGGGCCTCATTTCTGTTTTTCATCACATGTCCCCTCCTCAGTCTTCACTTCTTTTCACAGCTCTTCCACCTGTTTCACAATATTTAGCTGTCTCCTTGCTTCGCCGCAAATGCAGTTTGTAGTTTTGTTTCTTGTTCTTTGGGTGATTTCCAGGAAGCCAAGAGGGGATCGCTGACTTGATGCCACCATTTTGAAACCCAGAGTCCGAATTATGGTTTTGGCATTTTATTCCAGAGAATAAGAAAAAGAGTTGTGTAGTTTGGTAGTGTCCTTTTACATTTAGAGAATACTAAGTTAGGCTGGGTGTGGTGGCTCACACTTGTAATCCCAGCACTTTGAGAGGCTGAGGTGGGTGGTTCACTTAAGGTTAGGAGTTCAAGACCAGCCTGACCAACATTGGTGAAATTCTAACAACACAAAAAATTAGCTGGTTGTGGTGGCGTATGCCTGTAGTCCCAGCAACTCAGGAGGCTGAGGCAGGAGAATTGCCTGAACCCAGGAGGCAGAGGTTGCAGTGAGCTGAGGTTGTGTCACTGCACTCCAGCCTGGGTGACAGAGTGAATAAGAAGAAAAAAGAGAATAGGAAGTTAGAAAATGTGGTTGTTTTACCCCACTTTGAACAGACTTGCCAGTGCTTTCTGCCGTGAAAGCCAGCAAAGCTGGTAAGAGCAAGGGTGGCCAGTAGCCTATGGAATACTTGTTTCCAGGCTGCTCTTTGGGCTGAGGTTGAAGATGGGCAGCATCAGCCTTCTCCCCAGACTTAGCTCGTCTGGGGCAGGGATGTGGACTCCTTGAAGCAGGCTCTGAGTTGTGTGGTTCTTGGAGGTATTGCCTCTGACCACCTAAAACAAAGAGGTCGGGGCACAAAGTATATTAAAGAACTGACTTGAGCCAGAGAGAGGACAGCTGCCCAGAAGACACAGACCCAGTCACCTTGGATATGAACTCCATTCACCTGTGTTACAAGTAGGTTGTTACCACAAAGAAAGGGGGACAGGGAGTGCAGTGATACAAGGTTGTTTGTCATGAATTCTCATTGGCTTACAGTAGTGACATTGATGGGCAATTGGCTCTCCATCGTTAAGCTCTAGGGAGCGGGCTGTGGTCTCGGATGTGGTATGGCGGAGGTAATTTATAGCTTAGCTGCTGGTGGCAAAACCAGGTAGTTTCAAGAGATGAGCACAACCCAGAGAGGGGGAGGACGAGTCTGCCGTCTCATCTCAGTGTCTCTGGGCTTGATAACTTGAAAGGATTCACATTTTTCAAATGAAAGCTCTTTACTTTTCCACCTTGAAGAGGGGTCCGCTCTTCCTGACACAGGTGGTCCCAGGGTCTGTGCTGGCTTCTGTGATGAGCACACATACCACACGGGACTGCATCTCTCCCTCTTCCCAGTTGACAACATGACCTTTCCCAGGCCAGGGACCTCCTCGATGATGGGACAAAAGCTATGGCTTTTCTCCCAAACCGTGGCACACTGCGCACGATTTCGGTGTATACTTTCTGGGCTTATTACCAGTCTCTGAATGGCCCCTCTTTGGAGTCATGGCCCCCAGGTGAAGGCCTCTGCTTGTGATGTTGGACGAGGTATTAGTACTATCTGGAGCCATAAATCTTATGTCTTCCTGATGAATGTCTAGACAAAAGTCGAAGGGAGAAGTTCTTGTTGAGATCTTGGGTTTCTTTAATGTCTGTTTTTCCAGTTTATCGTATCTTTCTCTGCCAGGACGAATCAAGCGTGTGTGAACAGATCTTGCCTCTCTGTGAAACCCTCTTCTATTTCTAAATCCCTTGACTCCTTAGCCTCAGGTGGGCTAATTCCCTTCTTTCATTGGTAGGAGTTGAATAAACCTGTATATTATAAGAATGTCTAATTTATCCATTAATGTTAATTTTGTATTTTCTGTACTATATTGTGTCTCACTGAAAGAATGACGAGAATCCCTTGAGTCATGAAATATTTACTCTGCTTACTTCCAAGGTATATCACTACCTTTTCCTTCTTACGTTGCAGGAAGTAAGGAAGGAAAAGGATTTACTGACGTCATAGTTACAACATGCCAATCAGTGAGACCACAGATCTGTTCCTGCGAGATTGACGGAAAATCTTACGATCACATAGGAACAGACCATCCTCAAGTGCTGCTGTATTATTGAATTGATTAAGTTCACAGATTACTTTGTCTCCTTTATTTGTGGGACATATTCATCAAGTAAAATTTTAAAAATATACTAGCAAATTAAACGTTTTTTTTTTCTTTTTTTGAGACAGGGCCTTACTCTGTTACCCAGGCTAGAGTGCAGTGGCTCAATTGTGTTATAGCTGGCCTAGAGTTAGAACCTGAACAATGCCATTTTATAAAAGACAAAGCTGTTTTTAAAAATGTTACCCCATTCTCCTCACAATGACGGCTAACCTTGGCTTCTGTAAACAAGACTGCTAGTTTACTGTGCAGAATGCAAAGAGGTAAAGCTGCTCACCTTCTCTTATCAGTGACTGCCAGAGTTGCTAGCCTTTGCTTTCTGGTAAGAACCAGAATAAGCAGCCCAAGATAATTCCATCCTGGCTCCTGCAACTTGTAATAAGTGACTGAGATCTGTACCCCTACCCAGATAATGTGTAAACTAATGTTTATCTTCTGTAAACCACTTAAGTAACAATCGGAATGACAGAAGTCCCCTGGCCCTTGGAATGTCTGGAGCACTCCTCACCGTCCTCTCGGCCCAGGAGGTGATTTACAGAATCCACTAGCCCTCGAAATGTCTGAAGCCTTTCATCCCCAATCCCGCTCCTCACCCCCACTCCCAAGGTGGTTTTACAGGTATAAAAAGGTCTTGTCACCCTTCTTTCTCTGCCATGGGTTGGAGAGAGGTGAGTCCTCCGTGGTCGCCGGCAATAAACCCTGCAATTTGGCATACTTTTGTCTTGGTGTTGACTTTCTATGCTCGGTCCAGTATAACACAATCATGGCTCACAGTAGCCTTCACCTCCCAGGCTCAAGTGATCCTCCTGCCCCTGGCCTCCTGAGCACACCACCACGCCTGGCTAATTTTTAACATTTTTTTATTTGTAGCGAAGGAGTCCCATTGTGCTGTGCAGGCTGGTCTCAAACTCCTGGGCTCAAGTGATCCTTCTGCCTTAGCCTCCCAAAATGCTGGATTACAGGCATGAGCCACCGTACCTGGCCTATATTTTAAAAATTAAATTTCCATTTGAATTTGGACAACACAAAAAATTAATAGAATTAATGTTAATTAAACTTAGAATTTAAGTTATTTCACAGGAATTTTTATTTAAGTTCACTTAGGAATTGTTTAGGAACATTAAACTTTACACATTAACATTGAAACAAACACGGTCATCTCCATTTTAAATATAATTCAAGGAGAACTCATTTTATTCTTAAGATTGCTTAAAATAGAGTTGATTGTGTTTGTTTTAATTAGGCTTAAAGGCTTTGGGGTGGGGAGTGGAAAACAAAAACAAAATACTTAGCACATTTAAGGGATATAGAATATTTCTTGTTTCCAAAACTCAAGTTAAAGTAAGAACTTAGTAAAAATTTTTCAGTGGATGACTAGAAGAATTAAAAGATAAGCAGATTTAAATACCAGTAGGACAGCTGTTTTTTAATGGTTTGATCTGCGGGCCAGTTTTTATTTTTACTGTTTATTTTTGAGATGGGGTCTCGCCCTGTCCCCTAGGCTGGAGTGCACTGGCGTGGCCACAGTTTACTGCAGCCTCAACTGCCCAGGCTCAAGCAGTTCTCCCACCTCAACCTCCCAAGCGGCTGGAACCACAGGCGGGTGCCACCACACCCAGCTAATTTTTTTTTCATATTACTTGTAGAGATGGAGTCTCACTATGTTACCCAGGCTGGTCTCAAACTCCTGGGCTTAAGCAACCTGTCTGCCTTGGCCTTTCAAAGTGCTGAGACTGCTGGTGTGAGCCACCGTGCCCGGCCTGAGACTTGTTCTGTGTGGATTGTGGATTCAGTCTTTCTGCTCTGCTTGATGTACTCAAGTATGTCACTCCCTCAGCTTCCTCTTCCACTCAAGCCCCTGTAACAGACTGAAGCTATCCAGTTCTGTGGTGACAGGAAGAAACTGCTCTCTAATAACGAATGTAGTTACTTCCATAATCTATTCCTCAGTAATTATCTTCAGATAAAGCATAGACGATCTGTTGTGAAGTCTCTCAATGATGTGTCAACCAAGGGAATCAAGGCGCCGTTGCCTCCCGGTGTGAGCAGGAACTCCAGGGACAGGGCAGTCCTTCGGGAAAGTGGCATGCTGCTGCCTCATGGATGGCACTGATAACCTCCAGTCTCACCCCTATTAGGCATCTCTGGGCAGAAAGGACACCAGGCTAACAATTGTGTGAAACTACCTTTTTGCAGATGTGCTGTCATTTTAGTCAGCGGAACTGAGAAAGAGCCTAACGAGCAGGGTTTTATTTTCTTGTGTTCCTTTTGAAGGGCCTTCATCCATGCCCCTGTGTAATATCACTGGGAACTTACATTTGCCCTGGCCCTTCTCTTTGCATCTTGAACTCAGACATCTGTCGAGATTCCCCAACCGGGAATGAAGACATATCTGAAAGGCAGTGACGGGATGAGATCTCTCATCCCCACACTCTGGCACTCCCTTCAGGGTGTGTCTAGGCTGCCATGTCATTACCAGTGGGCATCTGGCTCCCACCAGGGCCTGGGCCTTCTCCATCCTGGTATCCAGGTGTCTCAGTGAATGTCTGGGTCTTTAAACAAATTGATTGTGAAGGATCAATTTGTTTTGCTAATAAACAAAGTGAATGACAGAAGCACGCTAATTTGATTGGTGGCTGTCTTTTCTCTCTCCCAGGAAGTGCTCTCCGGCGTTGTGGTCATATCGAGTAAGGATTCAGTCCAACACCAGGGAGTGTCTCTAACCATGGAAGGAACTGTAAACCTCCAGCTCAGTGCCAAAAGTGTGGGGGTGTTTGAAGCTTTTTATAATTCTGTTAAGGTAAGAATGCTTAGATTGCAATATTTTATTTCAATATTGAAATGTTGGGCTGGTTGCAGTGGCTCAGGGCCAGGCACAGTGGCTCAGGCCTGTAATACCAGTAATTGGGAGGCCAAGGTGGGAGGATTGCTTAAGCCCAGAAATTTGAGTAGCCTGGGCAACAAAGCAAGACCCCATCTCTCTAAAAACTTTAAAAATTAGCTGGGTATGGCGGTGTGCGCTTGTAGTTCCAGCTACTCTGGAGGCTGAGGCAGGAGTATCCCTTGAGCCCAGGAGTTCAAGGCTGCAGTGAGCTATGATCACAGCACTGCACAACAGCCTCAGCAACAGAGCAAGACACCATGTCTCTTAAACAAAAAGAAATGTTTATGGTGGTTTTCACTTGCTGTGTGCCTTTATTGTTATCTGCTGTTATTTTGCAAGGGATGGAGATACTTCTGATATTTACTAACCAACCTGTGAAATTGGAGATACTTTGTTTCTAAGTATATCCTGTTATTGAAAGTCTGCTTATACTTATTCCCATTTGATAAACAGGATTAGGAGAACTATAAATGTATTAATTTCAGCCATTAAAAAGAACACTGCTAGGCACTGTGGCTCACACCTGTAATCCCAGCACTTTGGGAGGCCGAGGCAGGCAGATCACCTGAGGTCAGGAGTTTGAGACCAGCCTGGCTAACATGGTGAAACCCCATTTCTACTAAAAATACAAAAAATTAGCTGGGTGTGGTGGTGTGCGCCTGTAATCCCAGCTACTTGGGATGCTGAGGCAGGAGAACTGCTTGAACCCGGGAGGCAGAGGTTGAAGTGAGCCAAGGTCGCGCCATTGCACTCTAGCTTGGGCAACAAGAGTGAAACTCCGTCTCAAAAAGAAAAAAAAATCACAGCTCTTCTGAGAAGTTGTGCTTGTGGCTTATGTTACCTGCCTTCCAAAATCAAAACTGTTATTCTATTAGCTATGTATATGCTGCTATTGATTTGAAACTAGGGTAAGATGAAAATAGAGCAAGTAACTGTTCTTTTGTCATTTAGGGTAGAGAGTTATATGTTCCACAATGTAAACTCCTCTATTCTTATAGTTTCTTTTTCCTGAAGGACATTTTAATCTTTAAGTTTTGCGGGAAAAGAGTTAAGGGAAGAAAGGTGCATTCAGTGTTCAGATTTAGGGGCTTCCTATGTTTTCTACAATTTTATTTTAATCCATTAGTACTTAGAGATTCACTTCCTAAGTCATGGATCTTCTCAGAGCCACTGATGTTAAGCTGTAAATGCTTAAAAAGCATGACTACATACTTTGAAGGCAGGTTCCAAATGTTAGTACTCTCCTGCTCCTCCTTGGAGGCGCAGCTGAGGAGGTCTGTGCAGGCCATGGGGCTGGAGGAAGGCCTGATCTCCCCAAGCAGCTGCAGCAGGAAGGCTCCGAGGAAGCTGGGGGGCCATCAGGAGCAGAGGCAGCGCTGCCCCGAAGGGCACCAGCTGGGCGAGGAGAGCTGTGGGTTCACACGTCAGCCCTGTTAGCCAGGCAGCCTCACTGTGCTGGATCTGCTTCTTGATTCTGAAGATTGGGGTTGTTAAAACAGTTAAAGGAGATACTTGCAGAGGAGAAAGGACATATCAGTTCAGTTCCCATGTAGATCAAGCACCTATGTGTCTCATGTTGTAAATCAACCATTACTGTGCCAGAGTCTTAAAAAATGGAGCCAAGTCACTTCATCTCCAGACCCAGCATGGAGCTGCCTACAACAGCAGGATGGTAGCCTCCAGGGCCTCAGGGTGCTGTGTCTTTCAGAAGGTTATTAATAGACACTGTAATTGGAAAAGACATCTCCAAGTACCTGCTGATGGACTGAATTGATTTTTGTTTACAGCCTATCCAGATTCTCAACAGCACCATAGAAATGGTGAAGCCAGGGAAATTTCCCAGCGGCAAAACAGAAATCCCTTTTGAATTTCCTCTGCACGTGAAGGGTAACAAAGTTCTGTATGAGACTTATCATGGCGTGTTTGTCAACATTCAGGTGAGAGCTTCCTAGTCCCATGCGACTGATTTCACAAGTTTTCTTCTGACAAACAGTGTGATCTTTCACTCAGCATTAATAGACGGGCCCAAGAATTTAATACTGTACTTATTGCTGAGACCTCTCATGTATATTCTGTGTTAATTTCTCATTTTTCCCTCATAAATGCATTTTATGTATGGCCATTATTTTTGTTGGGAGCCTCAAAGCACTTGTGTTCTAACTTCCTTTTCCTGTTTCTCTTGGGCTCTTTTCAGGCAACATGGACACTGTAAAGGGATGCTTTTATTGTCTGGTAACAGATATGCCCTGACTTCTTTGTGGCACTAGCATTCACTTGTCCATTTTATACTTACAAGTATCTCTTTGTTTAACACCCAAAGGCTACTACATTGACATAGGCTGGTATTCTTTATTGAACAAACCTTGTCAATGAGGGGAAGTGGATTCATGACTTCCTGTCCACCTCAGCGGTTAAGGACGTCTTTCACAGTCTGCTATTGTTGTCTCAGGAGCAGTGTGGAGTCCACGCAGGGTGAGAGAGCCTTTCCTTTATTCAGCAGAAAGAAAGATACTTTTGTGATAGCAGCCTCGCAGCACTTCCCTTGCTGGATGAGACAAAACTCTTCAGTCTTACATGCAAGAGGGATGAAAGTAAAGAATGTTTTTGATTTATTAAGTTTTGGTCAATAATTTAGCCTTAGACACATTCTCCTGCTGAAACTATTAGAACCTTTAAAATAAAAGTCCCCCAACCCCTGTGAGTATTTAACCAAAGATTCATCTGTATGTGAGTTTTATGAATTGTCTAAGAGATCTGTCAAGAAGAAACACATGTAGTATGATGTCCATCTTTCCACGAAGAAAAAAAGTGTTTGCAGTCCTTTATTGTTAGCACAGCTTTTTCAGTCACCAAAGGCTTTGGGTAACCCCAAGAAAGCCATAGTGATGACTGGTTAGCACCTGGATTCAGAGGGAGCTGCTTAGGTAGCCATACAAATACCAATTGCTGGTGTGTGGGCAGGAGTCTTCTGATCAGCTTTCTAGGTTGGGACTATTTCCCCCATGAAACCTTCCAGAGGTGGACAGGAAGTCATGAATCCACTTCCCCTCATTGACAAGATTTGTTCAATAAAGAATACCAGCCTATGTCAAATGCCTTTTTGGTAATACTGAAGATACCTTAAACGTTTCATTTTGAAAGTTATTTTTATTATTTATCCAGAATCAGTATCTTGCTTTACCCACATGGTAGTTCTTTAATATGATTTATTTTAAAATATAAGAATATGTTCATTAGAAACTGTCATAAGATCACCTTTTCATGCCACAGCAGGAGGACTGCTTGAGCCCAGGACTTCAAGACCAGCCTGGGCAACAAAGCAAGATCTCGTCTCTACAAAACAAAACAAAACAAAAAACTTGTGTGCTTGTATTCCTGCAGAGCTGTATGTAAATTGGAGGTTACTTAAAATATAGTAGCAGAGTTAACAGGCGGTCATTTCTATAGTAAAGTGAACAATTGCCCCTACCTTGTCTTTTAGTCTTTAGATTTTACCATTTGAGGGTTAACCTCAGAATACTACAATTTGGAATTCCGTACCTCCCCAGATATCTCACAGGTTTCTAACAGTGAAGAGATTTCTCAGCTTAACCTCTGATTTCTGTGAACTTATCGCACTTATTATCATTTAGCATTTGTTAGTATTTTGCCATCTTTGTTAATCTGTATTATGTTCTAACTCATTTTAAAGTTAGTTTTAGAGTCTTCATACTTCATCTCAAAATACCTCATTGCGCATCTCCAAAAACAAGGGACATGTGTCTATATAATTATAGTTAACATTTGCACACCTATCAGAATTTACAAAAATTCTCAAGTAGCGTTTAAGTCTTGATTCATATTGAAATTTGTCATTGCTTCTTTAGAGAAAATAAACTTAAAAGAAACTAAGGTTATGTTTTTTTAAAATCTGTCTTCATCCATTCATTAATTCATGCCATTCTTTGGCAGGTCTTTTTCTTAGAGTTTGATAGTAGAGTGAGTGCCTCCCAGAGAGGGCAGTGACTTCCTGTGATCACATAGGCCAGCCTCAGCCCGGGGGTCCAGGACAGCGCTCGTTGGCCCCACTGTTTAGTACACTCAGTCTAAAGGTTAACATAGGCACATTTCTTTGGATAGAAAGTTTTGTTGTTAAACTCTAATATCATCTTTCTTAAATTATATGTATGCCAAGAAATTTTTCATTTATAAATTGAATTGTTATAAGTAACAATGTAAAATGGTAAAATTAATAAAACAGAACCAAGGATTTAAAATATAGACATGCTGGGTGCAGTGGCATGCACCTGTAAACCCAGCCACTTGGGAGGCTGAGGTAGGAGGATCACTTGAGCCAAGGAGTTTAAGTCTAGCCTGGGCAACATAGCAAGACCTCAAAAAAAAAAAAAAATAATAATAATATATATATACAGCCAGTATTAACTGGGTGTGGTGGCTCATGCCTGTAATCCCAGCACTTTCGGAGGCTGAGGTGGGTGGATCAGAGGTCAGGAGTTCAAAAGCAGCCTAGCCAACATGGTGAAACTCCGCCTTTACTAAAAATACAAAAATTAGCTAGGTGTGGTGGTGGGCGCCTGTAATCCCAACTGCTTTGGGAGGCTGGGGCAGGAGAATTGCTTGAAGCTGGGAGGCAGAGGTTGTAGTGAGCCCAGATCACACCACTGCACTCCAACCTGGGCAACAGAGAGAGAGTCAGTCAGTCTCTCTCTCTCTCTCTCTCTCTCTCTCTCTCTCTCTCTCTCTCGTGTGCATGTGTGTGTGTGTGTGTGTGTGTGTGTGTGTGTGTGTGAGAGAGAGAGAGAGAGAAAGAGAGAGAGAGATTGCCAGTCCAGAGGCTTGGTTTGTTTGTTATTTTTTAGATGAAGGGCTTGACATTCTTCTCTTCAGTGCTGCGTTCATTTTTGTCCTTGTTATTAGATACTTCATACAATCATCGGTCTTCCGTAGCTGTCCTTTGTGCAACTACTTCTTTTTACAAGAATTTAAATTGTAGCAAGTTTTACTGGGTTTGTTCTACTCTTGTAGCTGTGCTGGCAAGAGTTTGTGCCATAACATAAAATATGCCTGCTGAAGTTGTATATTCCGAGCTTACGGAGATCCTAGCCATCCCTTTTCAAAGTGAAAAATTCCTTTTGCAGGAGTCTACTTCCAAAGTATAAACAGGGCCAGGTGTGGTGGCTTGCACCTGTAATCCCAGCATTTTGAGAGGCCGAGGCAGGCAGATCACCTGAAGTCAGGAGTTCAAAACCAGCCTGGCCAACATGGCAAAATCCCATCTCTACTAAAAATGCAAAAATTAGGCTGGGTGCAGTGGTTCACACCTGTAATTCCAGCACTTTGGGCGGCTGAGGTGGGTGGATCAATCACCTAAGGTCAGGAGTTCGAGACCAGCCTGACAACAGGGTGAAACCCTGTCTCGACTAAAACACAGAAATTAGCTGGGCATGGTGGAGGGTGCCTGTAATCTTAGCTACTTTGGAGGCTGAGGCAGGAGAATCACTTGAACCCAGGAGGCAGGGGTTGCAGTGAGCTGAGAGCGCACCACTGCACTCCAGCCTGGGCAACAAGACTGAAACTCCATTAAAAAAAAAATTAGTTGGACATGGTAGCACACCCCTGTAATCCCAGCTACTCAGGAGGCTGAGGCAGGTGAATGGCTTGAATCCAGGAGATGGAGGTTGCAGTGAACTGAGATTACACCACTGCACTCCAGCCTGGGCAACAGAGTGAGACTCTGTCTCAGAAAACAAAAAGAGAATATATATGTTGTATATATATTATATATAAAGATCCTTTCAGACAAGGGATGATTCTTTCAAACAATGTTTTACTCTCCCAATGGTACCTTAAATATATAGTAACTTCTTATTTCATGCGGACAGGTTGTTCATAAGAATACAGCTTCTTGTGCAATTATGCATATAGTCCCAGTTATGAAAATTATTTTTGGCATAATTCTAAAGTTTTTCCTGGATGACTAAAATAATAGCTAACTTGATTAAATGTGGATTACGTGATTTTTTTTAAAAGCTGGCATTACAACAGTGATCATGCTGTAGAATTATGTTTCTACACAGTCTCTCAGCTCATAGACAGGGATTAGAATCGATAGTCCCTTTTCAAAGCCTGCTTTAAGCTCAGTTCCAGCTCTGCAGTGGGGCTCCACTGGGGGGAATAGGGCCCACCCTGTAGCAGGCACCATGGTAGCCACCAGCTCAGAAAAGTAACCTCAGGACAGCAGAGAAATGGAACGTGGCTTTACCACTTAAAAGAGGAAGTGTGCAAGTATGATGCCACGTTTTTTCCAAGTCACTTTTTCTTTGAGATGCAGGCTTCATCTGTGCATTGGCAGATGGGGAGAGGCCTTAGAGATGTTTTGATAAATCAGATTAGCCATGAGTTGACCCTTGTAGAAGTTGGCTGATGGACGTGTGAGTCACTGCATATTACTTCAGTAACTAGAAGCTCCCTGAGGAGCGGGTGTGACCTTGAGCTTGGCTCTGGTGCCCAGGGCAGTGCTCTGCACCTGGAGCAGGTGCTCAGTAAGGACGGGTCGTGACATGCTGGGTGCTGTCCCAGGGTTGCAGTCCTCACTGCATGTACTTTCTAATTCTGCTTACAAAGTAGCTGTCTGCCAGCCCTGTACTAAGTGCTTGTCACACATCTTACTGGAGTCTCGATGCAGGTGGATGTTAAGAGCCCCATTCTACAGAGGGGAAGCAGAAGCTCAGAGAAGTTGTGTTATCTGTCTGGGCTTGCACAGTAAGGCAGACAATAGGATCTGGCCTGGCCTTTGCTCCTGAGCACACTGCCCTTTCTGTCTCACCAGCCTGCTCCCTGCTTCAGGCAGGACCATGCACCTGTCTGCCCGTCGGTGCAACTGCAGGACGGCTGTGCAAATAGATTGAAGAATAACCATAAAGTGGTTCTTTCTTAAAAATAAAAATGCCTTTAATTTGAACATTAACTCTCCTATTATATATTATGTATGTTAATTTCCTATAATACACTGATTGTATAATATTTCCCTAAAATATGTTGACTTGACTTGTCTCTTTGAATATAATTCCAAGATGAAAGCAAATCCCACCCAGATGACCATTTTTTTCTCCAACTCTCCCCTTTAGTATACACTGCGCTGTGACATGAGGCGGTCTCTGTTGGCCAAGGACTTGACAAAGACCTGTGAATTTATCGTTCACTCCGCTGTAAGCTTCACTTGGGGCTCTGGTGCTTAATAATAGGAATCTCCCATGGGGTCTGAGATTTTACCCTATTTACAAGCTAATAATTTAGGCTTTTATTGTTTCCTGGGTGCGGGCAGAAGACACGAGACTCCTGGGTCAGAGATTGCCAGTGGCATGAGCATCATGTGTGCATCATTGTCCTTGGCCTGGAGACCCCTGCTGGGGCCGCGGGCCAGAGGGACTCCATATCAGCACGTCAGGCATGGCCCTTCTTCCCCTTGGCTCTCTGGGTGGTAGAGTGGCCTTTTGCATCCCAGCCCCTGGATAAAAGATGCCAGGCAGGCTCTTCTGAAGCTCAGCTATAGCAATGGATTCTGAAATTATATAACATGGAGGTGATCACTGTTACTGCTGTTTTGGTGACATTTATAACTATTTTATAGGTATGATTCTTCAGGTAGACAGCTCTATAGCTCAGAGGCTAATAGCAACCTGACCCCCTGGGTTTGATGCTCAGCCTCCCAGCTCTACCACTGAGCTGAACAAGTCACTGAGCTCTCTGCCCCACTTTCCTCATCTGTGAAGTGGAACCATCTGGGAGGTGTGAGGAGCCCCTCAGAGGTCACTGTGCTGAGAGGTTTCAAATAAGTACCTCTCAATAACAGTGCTCTGTTTCTTAGGTCTGATTTTTAAATTCTGAATCTGAAAGGCACATTGGAGATTAAGACATCTCTCCCCTCATTTTACAGATGAGGAAACTGGGTTTCAGCGAGATGGGGAAACTTGGCAGAACCATGTTTGGGACCCAGGCATCCTCCTCTTAGTCCCCCGTCCTTCCTCCTTTCAGGCTGCCGTTTGTTTCTGTTTGAAGGGGAAAAGCTGTTTGACCTGCAGAACTCTTGGTCTTCACCGACTGACTTCAGTTTAACCTCTCGTTTTAGCCTCAGAAGGGAAAGTTGACTCCCAGTCCTGTGGACTTCACGATTACACCTGAAACCTTACAGAATGTCAAAGAGGTAAGACGTTCTGCCCACTCAAATGCTATGGGTGTCTTTCCAGTCCCCACGGACTAGCTATTGCCCGGGTGGTTTTATTTGGAAATCACATGATCAGCCAGCAGAAATTCCTGATTATTTGTACCCAATTTACTCAGTATTTTCCATTTGATTTCCTTTTTAAGCTCAGTAAAGCAGCTTAGAAGAAGAGCGCTTTTGAAAAGTTGTGCAGGGAGAGTATGTCTATTAATTGCTCTGTTTTCCTTCAGTTTTACTGCATCGTGGGCCCCCGAGACCCCCTGCAGCGTGTGACACAGGCATGTCCCTTTATTTCTTGTGGTGAGCCAGGGCCTGAGCCCGGACCCCTGGCCTCTTGTCATCCTCCATGGATGTTTAGTTTGCAGTTTCTCCGCCCAGCATTCCCACCTGGCAGAGGCTGGGCAGCAACGTGCTTTTTAAAGATTCCTCCTCCCACCACAGCGCCCTCCGTGGTGGACGCCTCATGGCTGGGACAGGTACAGTGAGGACACAGGCACCTGGGCAGTGCCAGCCCAGCCCTCCCACCTCCTGTGTCAGGACAGGGCTGTCTGGTCTCAGTGGCAGCCCCTGGTGGAGCCTCAGCTGCCCACATGCGCTTTACTGGCACAGTGGTTAACTTGGCCCCATCCAGAACTCTGCCTGGCCCCAGCCTTCCCAGTCCTGCCCTCTCATCCACTGCCGTGCGTTTCCCCAGACTTCTTGAATGGTATCTGTCTCAAAGAAAGCAGGGAGTTCCTGTAGTTCTTCCTGGGTGTAACTTCCCTTCCTTCCTCTTAATTCTTCATTCTGCTGTCTGGTCACACTCACTAGCTGGGAGGACTGGGCCCTGGGAGGTCATTGGCCTCCTCCCTCAGAGGCTGGATGTGTGTCATGGGGAGCCTTGCAGACAGGTGACGGGGGAAAGGCCACTCCCCTGTCTGTCCGGGCTCTGAGGGCACATGACTCCAGTGGGCCACTCAGACTCCTCTCTCCCGCCTCTGTCGCCTGTCTGTGGAAGCGCTGACCCCAGCAGTAATGCGATTCATTTCTAGGCGCCGTTTCTTCCTCCGGCCAGCTGCTGCTCCTATTGCAGACGCAGCGGCCTTTCATCTCCGTTTCCTGTATTGATTCTATTTCTCAGGGGTTGGTTCTGTTTGTCGAGTGCATGTGTCTTTTTCTTGATTTTGTTTTCCTTAAATGTGTATCGATCCTTGGTTGTCAGTTTACATTTATGAATGAGGATCTAGTGCATGTGGTGGTGTGAAAGAGGCTGTGTCCTTAGCCCACGTGAGAACCTGTTCTCCTGGTCCTCAGCACACACTGAGCAGAGGCGCTCTGCCCTGGGGATAGCATGTGGCAGGGGTGTTTGTAGGCAGCTTGTCTCCTGAGTCCAGACACTTGCTGTCTGCACTGTGGCCATGAATGACATGGGACACTTGTCCCACCTTGCCCTGAGTCTGCTTTTCCAGGTGGGAGATCCCTTTGCAGGAAGCTGTGGTGCCAGCCTGTGGCAGCTTCCCCCGCCTGGTGAGCTCACCCGTGATACCCACCTACTGCCCTTCAAAGGCCCCGGGCTGACGGCAGGCTGACCTCACGTCCTGAGAGCGCACCTGCTCTCACTGCTCCCCCTGCCACCTGGAGTACAGGTGCCCCGAACTCCTGGGAGCCATGTCGTCTGTCCACTTTCTAGCCAACAGAAATGCCTCACTGGGCTGCTCCCCGCAGTGCGTTCCTTGTGGCTTTTCTAGGTGTAGGTTTAGTTAAAATGTAAGGAACTTTTCTTTTGACAGAACCATTCATGTTTATTATTGGAAAATAAGAAAATAACACATAAAGCAAATAAAATAAAATTACGTTTTCACAAAATGTCACTGGTGGTTTTTTGTTTTGCTTTTTAAGTAGAAAAGAGATTTATTGGAAGGCTATAAGATAGCTTTGCAGGAACTACAGGAAGGCTGGAGCTCAGACTGAAAATAGTGGAGGTTTATTTTATTTGTATATGTTAATATCATGTCAGTGGGAGGAGTGGGAAAATGAATGTTTAGTCAGTATCTTGAGCTGTATGTTGAAAGCTTTCCTTTTTCATCAGTCGCCTAAAAGAATTTTGATGTGAACTGCTACGCTTTTTATTTTTCTACACAAATAGCTTCTCTTAGTTATTTTTAAAACTCTGGCTTGGCCAGGGACAGTAGCTGATGCCTGTAATCCCAGCACTTTTGGAGGATCACTTAAGGTCAAGAGTTCAAGACCAGCATGGGCAACATAGTGAGACCCTGTCTTTACAAAAGAAAAATGTAAAAATTAGCTGGGTGTGGTGGCATGCAGTTGTAGTCCCAGCTACTGAGAAGGCTTAGCCAGGAGGATTGCCTGAGCCCAGAAGGTGAGGCTGTGGTGAGTCATGTACTCCACCCTGGGCAACAGAGCAAGACCCTGTCTTTAAAAATGTGCCTACTTAAACAAAAGCAAAACCAAAAAACCTCCATCTTGAATGCAGACTTTTTCCGAGGTCTGTACCTTTGGGGGCTGCTGGGTCCAGAGCTGTACTGCCCAGTCAGGTGGCCACCAGCCACATGTGACCATTGACCCTGGAGACATGGCTGGGCCAAGTAGATGAGCTGGAAGTGTAAATACTGACCAGATTTCAAAGACTCAGGATGAAAAGGAGAACGTCAAACATCATTCATATTTTTGATATTGATTACATGTGGAAGTGATAATACTTCTGATATATTGGTTAATTTTACTTTCTTTTTTAATGTGGCTACTAGAAAATTCTAAATTATTTTGTGTCTTCCACTTGCAGCTTGCATCATGTGTGTTAGACGGTAGGATGCCAGTCTCTGATCCTTTCAGTGACTGGCATCAACCAGAGGTAAAGACCCCTGGGAAAATTGTCTGGAGCGCTCTAGACCAAGCCCATCCAACCCACTGCTCACAGACCAGGATGGCTTTGCATGTGACTCTACACAAATTCATAAACCTTAAAACATGATGCGATTTCGTTTTTGTGATTTTTTTTTTTAACTCACCAGCTATCAGTAGTGTTAATGTATTTTATGTGTGGCCCAAAACAATTATTCTTCTTCCAAAGTTGCTCAAGGAGCCAAAAGATTGGGCACCCCTGCTACAGACCATCGTCAGTCCTTCCTGGCCAGTGTCCCGTCTACAGAGTCAAGGTTTATAAGCTTCTCATCAAGCATCAAAGAAAATCGTTTTCTTTACATTTCTATGAAATAAAATAAATGTCTTGGCTTTTAAAAATTGCACAATTGGGAACATCTTTGAATTTTTTTTTTAAGAGACACTATCTCATCATCTCATTCTTGTCACCCAGGCTGGAGTGCAGTGATACAATCATTGCTCACTGGAGCCTCAAGCTCCTGGGCTCAAGCAGTCCTCCTGCCTCTGTCTCCCAAGTCACTGGGACTACAGGTGTGCACCAGCCTGCCCAGCTGATTTTTTAAAACATTTTTTAGAGATGGGGTCTTGCTGTGTTATGCAGGCTGGTCTTGAACTTCTGGTCAAGTGATCCTACTGCCTTCGCCTCCCAAAGCACTGGGATTACAGGCATGAGCCACTGTGCCTGGCCGTTTGGTTTTTTTTAAGTGTGTGTGTGTGTGTCAGGTTGTCCTTGAACACCATGGCGACTCCCTCAGACTTTCTTATTTCTTGGTAAGAAGGAGCTTTCTAGATCTGAGTCTAGGAAATTGGGATGGTTCTGTGAGTCATTCTCAGTACAAGGAGTGTCAGGTGCCATATGTAGAGAGTTGTTGAATAGTTCAGCCTGTAAATGTCCAAGATGTCAGTACTTTTGCTCCTTCTCATTTTGTGAGACGGTCCCAGTGGACCATGTAACCACCACCCAGCTTTGTTTCCAGTTTTTATTCACACCAAAGTAACTACAGAGTGCCTTCCCTACTTTCTCCCATTCCAGTGTATTTGTCTCTGTTTTGCTTTAGAGAGCTTTACTTCCCAAATTTCTCATTCGAGGCCATCTCAACTCAACAAACTGCGTCATCACACAGCCGCTAACAGGAGAGCTGGTGGTGGAGAGCTCGGAGGCCGCCATCAGAAGCGTGGAGCTGCAGCTGGTGCGCGTGGAGACATGCGGTGAGGCCACGCCCCCAGGCCCCGCACTTGCCTGTCACCCTTGACTGCCACCCTTGAGTTCTGTGGTTAAGAGGATGCTGGGGGGCTGGGCACAGTGGTGATCCCAGCTACTCGGGAGGCTGAGGTGGGAGGATCGTTTGAGTCTGCAGTGAGCTGCGATCGCACCATTGCACTCCAGCTGGGGCAACAGAGCAGATCATGACCCTGACTCTAAAAAAAAAAAAAAGAGGATGTCGGGGGAAGCAAAAGTAGGAGCGTGGCTGTGCATGGCAGTAGCCGCGTGTGTGAGGAAAGTGAGGGAACCCTGGAGGACCCTTGGAGCAGACTGCTGGGTGGTGCGGTGCTGATGAGGCCCCGCCACCTCTGCTGGCCCTGACTGCATGATGCGGCCTCCCTTCCCAGGGTGTGCAGAAGGCTATGCCCGTGATGCCACGGAGATTCAGAACATTCAGATCGCCGATGGGGACGTGTGCAGGGGCCTCTCTGTTCCCATCTACATGGTCTTCCCCAGGCTGTTCACCTGCCCTACGCTGGAGACCACCAACTTCAAAGTGGGTAAGTGGCACTCACCCCCAGCCCTCCCTGGGCCCATGGGAAGGGCCGCTCAGTGCCAGGGCCTGCTCTGGGTCACATAGCTCAGAGCCGGCCGCCCTTCAGTCTCTCAGCACCAGGGCCTTCTGTGGGCGACACAGCTGAGAACCGGCCTCCCTTTGGCCACTCAACAAAACCTCGTTAGGGAGCTGCCATGCTGCACAGGGGACACACCCACAGGCAGTCCTGGTGCTCAGGGAACTTCCACTGTCACACGGGGAAACAGACCCACGTCAATGTAGACAAGGGCAGTGACACCGAGCTCCATGAAGAAAACAACGCATGTGAGCACCACGTGAGCAGGAGTGACGTGGATGCTGACAGGGAGGCTCTGAGTGAAGGTCCAGGACTGTGCAAACCCCAGAGTGAGCGTTCAGCAGCAGGAAGGTTTTGAGCCCCGCGGCCTAGGCTGCCTCTAGTGAGTTTCCATGAAGCTGTGTGTGTCATATTTTAATCATGGGATCTGAATTCGGACACAGACACCCTTTTATACCCTGCCTCTTTCCCCTTAACATCATATCATGAACACTTCCATGTTCTCAACTCTTCCTGTGAATATTTTAATGTCCATCCATCTTAATAAGAATCATGTGAATTGGGAGATCACCCCACACTATGAAGAGGCAGAACAGAGACCCGGTAGTAAGCAACTGAGCCTTCTCAGTAGGACGGGACAGTGATTCAGAAAGGCTCAAGACGTCTAGGCTGGAAGTCAGGAGTGAGCACTGCATCACATTAAGAGCAGCACCTCTGTGTGTTCTTCTCCAGCTCTTTGTGCAAGTGACCTCAAATGTGTGGTCAGACCCGAGGCTGGCTCACTCAGGCTGTAAGCAGCACCTGGGTAGCGTGGCAGCTCAGATGCAGCTGCTTTCCTACTGAAAAGGAGAGCCTGCGCCAGCTCCCTCTCATGCCTACTGGGCATCTCTCTGTCCACTCCAGCCACACCCGCCACCCTTCTGGGGGACATGGCAAGAGGGGTGGAGAATGTGTTGAAGGGAGTGGTGGCCGGAAGGGCCCAGAGGGCTCTAATATACTAACAATAAAGTGAGGAAAGACAAGGGGGCACTGTTGGTGGCCGACTCTTCTCGTGGCTGATGTTGGGACGGAGGTGGATACCCCACATGGGGATGTTGTCCTGTGGACCCCAGCCACAGGTGGGGCACCAGCTCCAAGGCCCTTCCACAGCTGAGCTGCCACAGTGTGGGGCTTGGCACAGGGCCCTCTGCCCACACGATGCCCTCCCCACCCCTCGTCACACTGGGGAAGGACATGGCGCTTATCTGTCTTCCGGCGCTTCCTCTCCAGACACACGTCTTTTGTTATGATCAACGAGGCTCAGCCATAGCAGCTGAAGAGTCAGTGGAGAAGGAATCCTGTTTACTGAAAGGTGATGGATGAAGTGTCCAGTGAAGCAACACTAAATTGCTGCTTTTTTCCCCCCCAAATCGAAGTCTCACTTTGTCACCAGGCTGGAGTACGGGGGCATGATCTTGGCTCACTGCAACCTCTGCCTCCCAGGTTCAAGCAAATTCTCCTGTCTCAGCCTCCAGAGTAGCTGAGACGACAGGCATACACCCAGCTAATTTTTGTATTTTTAGTAGAGACAGAGTTTCACCATGTTGGCCAAGATGGTCTTGATCTCCTGACCTCATGATCTGCCTGCCTCAGCCTCCCAAAGTGCTGGGGTTACAGGTGTGAGCCACCATGCCCAGCCAAAATTGCTGCTTCTGAAGATTGTTTCTCTCCTGGGGGTTGGGGACATGGGCCCAGACGGCTACGGGCTGGTTCATGGTCTGCTATTTCATTAAGAACCGTAGGAAATGTAAAAATAAGGCAAAGGAATACAAATGACTTGGAAGGGTTTTAGTAGGTCCTCTCTAGGACAGCAAAGGGGCAGGGAAAGTGGAGCTGGGGAAGGCTGGTCACTCACGTTCCAAGACAAGAGGACTAAACCTCACTTAGAGAAAGCTGACAGAGGCAGTCAGACATCAGTAGAGTCATCTCCACTGGTTTAGCTGAAAGCTTGGGTGGCGCTGAGGGGACAGCAATGAAACCACCTGCACCAGCACTCCCTCTCCGTTAGAGCTTGTTGCAACTGCCTTGGTGGTGGCATGGGGTTTCACTGCTCGGTATCAGCATAAATCCACTGTCTCTTCATTCTCAGAATTTGAGGTTAACATCGTGGTGCTTCTTCACCCTGACCACCTCATCACGGAGAACTTCCCGCTGAAGCTCTGCAGGACATAGCCCAGAGGAGGGAGGCAGGGAAAACGGAGCGGCGCGTGGAAATCCAGCTTTATCCCAGCCCAAGGGAGCTCCAGCGAGCAGCATAGACTTGTGTTTGTGATTATTCCGTGTCCGAAACGAAGTGGACCCGCAAGTTAACTCTTCGAGGCTTCTGCTTCCAAAAGCTGCCTCTAATCAGACCTTTTCTTTGAAATGCAACAAGATTTCTTAATGCTATTTGCAAGACCATTTCACAGAAAACACTGACTGTGGCTCCTGTGTTAACTGTTCCTTTTTAGGTACAGTGAAACAATTGTGACAGCAGTTTGAGCTTTGCTGCAAAGTGGGATCACGGGGAGAAATGGAAACCTCTCTCCAAGTTGCCAACGCATGTGGCTGGGACTTCCCCCAGCAAAGGGTCTGTGGCCAGTTGACATCCAGGACGGCTGCAAGCACGCTCAATGGATAGGAAGTTTGTAGATACTCTCCAAGGTGGAAGGCACAGGGCAACCTGCTAGCCACTGGAAATGTGTGACTCCCCTCCACCCCCACTCTATTCTATAGTTCTTTTTATAACATTTTCATTATAACTTTAAAATTTGCAGGCAACTGGAAAAGAGTTTTCCTTGCTCTCATGGGGGTGTTTGGCTGGTGCTGAAGTGTTTCTGAAGTCTCAAGACCTGGCATAAAATCTCATCCTGCCATTTCCCTGAACATATAGAGACGGGGTTTTCCCTTTGTCACCCAGGCTAAACACAGTGGTGAGATCACAGCTCACTGCAGCCTTGACTTCCCTGGCTCAAGCAATCCCTCCCCTCAGCCTCCCGAGTAGCTGAGACCAGAGGTGCCACCACACTCAGTTTGATTTTTAAATTTTTTTAGACAGGTTCTTCCTATGTTGCCCAGGCTGGTGTTGAACTCCTAGACTCAAGTGATGTTCCCATCTTGGCCTCGCAAAGTGCTGAGATTACAGGTGTGAGCCACTGTGCCCAGCAGTTTCCCAGCATATATTTAAATGCAAAGTTACATAAGGGGAAAACATGTATGTTTGCTCCTGTTGTTACTGTGTAGGTTCTGAACAGCAGGAGACCTGTGTGCAGGGCAGGTTGGTGAAGGCCCCTCTCCCCAAGGTGGTAGCAGGAAAAGGTCTTGACTTGATAAACTTGGTCTGCCTCTGAGCCACCTAAGGAAGCTGTGTTTTGAGCCAGGATTTTTTGGCCTGAAGCCAGCATTTTCTCAGTCTCCCTTTGTGGTTCGAAGGATATGGTCTGTTGCAACACATTTCTTTCTTCAAATCCTGCCACTGTTTTGTTGGCCCACAATTAATAGGACCCTAAAATCAGCCACACTGCTTTGCACACATACTAGCCTTCCTTTGTACTTTTCAGTCTGGATAGGCTTAGGCAAAACAGGCTCAGGCTGAAGGCCTCTCAAGCTGTATCTATTTCCATGGACCTGAAACTGCGTTTGGGGACATAATGCCAAGGGTAAACAAGCCGGATTTAGGCACAGCTTTACCCAGTGGATTCACCCGTGAAATGATTAAAGCTTATCTGAGTCACTTGAAACTTGGTTCCCAGAAAATTCATTTCTGGTTTATGAATCTCCTTTATGCCCACATGACATTATTCATTATCTGTCTTTGATGATGTGTTTAAACTTAGCAGCAGAAAATAGAGGCCACACTTTCTGGGAAATTTTAAAGGAAGAAACCATTTTTAATGAGATGAAAATAATTTTAAAAACTAATGACAATTTTGAAAAAGGTTTGGGATATATATTACTATATAATGTCTTTAATAAACTGATTTATGGATATAAATATGATGACTGCTTTCCTTAGAGAATTATTACCTGAAGCACTGCCAGACAACGTGGCTACCTTTATCATTTCATTCGACCCTGAGTGGCCCGAACCAAGGCCTCAGGCCGGCCACTTCCTTCCACTTCTTGGTCTGACCTCTCCGTGATCTATTACTAAGCAAAGCTCAGATGTCTCTCTACCTTCGGCTGCAACTGTCCCCTACCAGGCTTGCTGGAGTTGGGGGTGTCTGCTATCAGAGGCTCAGTTGTCAAATTATCCAGTTAGAGCAAGAGGCGAGGAAAGGAGGGGGAGACGAAAGAAAGAGGCTGTGCACAATGAATCTAAAACAGTGCTGTCCTTTGGGAAATGCCCATTTTGATAAGAACACATTTTGGCTCAGCTGTGCTGTGAGTTCAGAGGAAAAGTAGGCAGGTACGGAAAGCCCAGGGCTTCATGGAGAGCAGGCATCAGGAACCCACCTGCTCTGGAGTCTTGGTAGGCAAGGGGAACGAACCTTCCAGTCCGTTTCTACCCTCACCATAATTCCTGTGTCTGAATCAGAATTACCTTGTTTTTAGAAACGGGGGGCTGAGCTTGCCGCCACATGCTAACGATAATTCAGGGCGGCAGCAGAAGCCAGTGCACCCAGTTCCTTCCTGTTTCCGCTTCCCGTTCTGGAACAGGGCGGCTTTTTCCCAGACTCCGGCGGGAGGCGTGGTCGCGTGCCCGAGCGCTGTAGCACGTGACCGGAGGGCGGGGACGCGCCTGCGCAGCATCCGAAGGAGGACGGCGCCCTCGCCCTGGCGGGAGGAGGCGGATCCCCAGTGCGGTGAGACTTGGGCTCGTCCAGGCGCGGCTGATCGGCTGGGATCTGGGCTCCATAGCCTGGGGGCCCCACGCTGGAGCTGGTGACGGGAGTGGGAATCCCCGCTCGGGCGCCCCAGCCTCGCGCGGAGCCTGCGTGCGCGGTAGTTGCACGGGGCAAGTCCTGCCCATCCTCCGAGCCCAAGCGTGGCTTCAAAAGCCTCGGGCCGAGTGGTGCAGCCCCCGCACAACCTGGCGCCCCGGTCGCTGCTGGAGCGGCTGGCCCAGAGTGGAAGGAAACGGCGGGGTCTGCGTTGCTCGGTGGATAGAAAAGAGAAGCGGCAGCTTAGCGCCAAGAATAAATGGTGACCGCATGAATCCCTGCCGCTAGGCGCATGTCTTGGCGGGAGAGCTGCAACAGGGCGGCCGGCTGGGCGCCAGGGGGTCTGGGCCGCTGTCCCGTGCTGGTCCCGGAATATCCTTGGCTCTTCCGGGAAGTGCCGCTCCAGTGAGGCCAGAGCCTCCCGCTTGGGAGGATGTGACGTGCGTTGCTGTACTCACAGGAGCGACGGTCACCTGGATTCCCCTTGCTGAAGTTTCAATAGATACCAGCTGTTGATTTTGGTCTGAGAGTCGAAGCCATGTGAACATTAGTGTTACTCTGGATCAGGCCGTCTTCCAAGTGCTGTATGTTACCTTGTTATAGCGACCCTAGGAGGAGGAACTGTTAGCATTAGCAGTCTAGGGAAAGAAATCCATTTTACCAGGCACTTGTCCATGCCTCTGCTCACCTCCCCACTGTCCACCCCAGGCGCGCAGTCTTTAACGTGGTGCACTTTTACTTGCGCCGCAGCCCATTCTCCTTTCACCTTGCTTCATTTGGGCTTTACTTTGCCGTGTCATTGACGGGCTTTTCTATGCATTTGCTCCCATGTATGCAGTGCCCGTTATTAGCTGTGTCACCACATGTTGAGAAGTCCCAAGGACTCTGTTATCTTTTTCATAGTTTGGATTGTTACCAGTCATCCCGGCGTTTCTTGAACAAAGAATTGGACAAAACACACAAAGCAAGGGAAGAATGAAGCAACAAAATCAGAGATATGTTGAAAATGAAAGTACACTCCGCAGGGTGGGAGCAACCTGCGAGGCTCAAGGGCCGTATTACAGAATGTTCTGGGCTTTAAATATCCTCTAGAGGTTTCCATTGGTTAATTGGGGTACACCCTTTGGAAAAGAAGTAGTGGCCCACGATCACTCTGATTGGTTGCAGGAGGGGACCAACCAGAGGCTGAGGCGACGTTATAAAGTTATACCCTGTGCAAATGTCTGATTAGTTGCAGAAAGCAACCAATCAGAGGCTGAAGTTACAAAGTTATTCTCCTATGCAAATGAAATCTTGGCCTGTGAATAGCCTAGCCTCATTGGCTGTGGGAGGGGACCAATCAGAGGTACTTACAGTTTCTTATCTGCCAGGCAGAAAAAGGGGAGTTGCAAAAGGAGTAGCCTCTGGTCATATTGTTACTTGGGTGTGGAAAGTTGGTGTTTTCCTTTTGATTTAGTTCTAAGAAGTTGGTGTGAATCGGCCTTAGGTTCCCTGCGTCCTGACCCTATTCTCCTGGCTCAGAATGGGCTTAGTTTTGATCGGCTGAGTCAAAAGAAAATGTCCTCAAACCAAGGCAATCATTTGCAGCTGGATCCAGCTGTGATTAAAGGACCAGAAAGTCCGGTCTCATTATATTCTAGGACTGATTTCTTCTATGTAGAGTAAAAATACTGGGGTACGTTCCAGACCCATTCAAAGCACTGAAATGTCCTTTAGTGAATGACCTCGCAATACCTTCTAAGGAGTGTTTGTTATTCCCATCTCACAGCTGAGCGAGCTGAGGCACAGAGAAACTGTGACCTGCCTAAGCCACGTGGCTCTGTTGATTCTTGGCCTGATCTTCCCCCAACTTACTACAACCCCAAGACAGAGTAAATAGCCATTGCTGTGCCATGGGTATGACCTCATTGATGGGGACACAGTCAGTTCTTCGTGAACCATGACTGCTGAAGCCACCATTCATCATTTCCAGCTGGTTTGCAAAAAGGTGGAATCAAGTTTTATGTGAAGAAATTGGTTTTCATTGTGAGATCTAGCCAAGCTAACTCACTTTGGGACTCCAAATAAGAGTAGATATTAAAAACTTACAAACCAGAACAATTGCCCAGGAAATGCTCTGTGAAGGTGAGGACTTCTTTCGAATATAAATAGCTCTACAACCTGAAGGCTGTCCAAACTAGCCACTTGCCAGAGGGAAAAAAATAAATCATACACGTGAGTCTAAGAGGTGGAGGTGACAATACGCCTCCTGGGCCAGTATCTTGTCCACTATGGCCACTGAAAGCTATTTATATTTGAGACTATTTTAAGTGGCTACAGTGGTCAGAGAATGTGACATTACTAAGAAACAGAAGGGCACCTGATTTTTAGAATCATAGCGGATCCGTCTATACTCACATAAAAATGCAGTCAAATTAGAGTGTATCACTCAAAAGATGGGGAAAGGCAGACTGAGGAATTAAAACTCAGCAAGGATCCCCCGTACTTCACTGTGCTTTTCTGTGAATGTCACTGGTAAGATGGGAATTCCTTGGATGGACCCCCATCCAGGTCAGCAGGATTCCAACTTTGTAGGTCTTTTCATCTCAAACCCCGGCCAGTCTCTTTACAGTGTGGAGGTTTTAAGTACTTAGAAAAGTACAAAGACAGAATTTGTGCCTATATGTGTTTGTAAGATCTTGTCTGATTCTGGGGAGTGCCAGCTCGATCAGGACCAAGGGTCAGGATAATACCGAAAGGTTTTGGTTCACCTGTCATCTGCATCAACTGTCATTTCCCAAAAAGATGTTTCTGGTTCCCTTTGCAAATGTCCAGCTGTGGTAGGAGGCTGAGCATGAAGACTTAAGGAAAGAGCAACTCAAAAGAAAAGCATTATTGAGAGGTAGGGTTTGGTCAGCAAAGGCCCCATAAAGTAGGGTGTGGTCACATCCTTTCTTGGGGTCACTGTCTCCCACCTGGGTCAAGGACTAGACCTTCAAGAACTAGACCACAACCTCTGGGTCTTAAGTGAAAAGAAGAGGACCAGCTTTTCTGTCTACAGATGTCTGGCTTCTGATGGAGCCACTTGGGGAGGCTGGGCCAGGAGTCCGGATACCCTGCCGCGTGATACACCAAAAAATGGTACACCCAGGCTTAGCTTCAGAAAGGTGAGAGAATTTCCGTATTCACAGAGTGGAAGGTTCAGAATGTAAAGAAGTCATGTTTCCTTACGTTGATCTATAGATGCTTAGATCAAAATCTGAGCAGACTTTTTGGAAAAACTGATGTTAATTGTAAAATTGATATGGAAATAAATAGAATAGTCAAAAGCAAAATTGGAAAAGAACAAAATTGGAGGACTTACTCTACATCATTTTAAGACTCCAAGTTGATCAGTTAACTATGCAAAAAGAAAGTGAACCTCAGTCCTCATGATATAGCACACACAAAAGTAAACTAGAAAATGACCGTAGACCTAAATGTGTAAGAACTAAAACTAAAAAGTTTTGAGAATAATCTTATTGGCTTTGGGTGGTTTGACAGATTTCTTTTCTTCTGTCTCCACCTTCTTCTCTCCTCCTCCCCCCCTCCTCCCCACCCTCCCCACCCTCCTCCCTTCCTCCCCCTCATTTTCTTCCTTCTCCTCTTCCTCCTCCTCCTCCGAAAAGACATGGGAGGTCTTGCTGTGTTGCCTAGGCTGGTCTCAAACTCCTGGACTCAAGTAATCCACCCACCTTGGCCTCCCAAGGTACTGGGATTACAGGCATGAGCCACCATACCCAGCCTCGCTGATTTCTTTAAACAAAAGTAATAAATTGAACTTCATCAAAATTGAAGACTTTTCCTTCAAATTTCAAAAAGACTGTTAAAAAATGCTGTTAAGAAAATGAAAATGCAGGCCATCGACTTGTAGAAAAATTACAAAACACATCCAACAAATGACTTGTACCTAGAATATATAAAGTACTAAAAAGAAGCAACTGTCCATAAGGCACGTTCATTAGTGTGACATGTCAGTTTACTGTTGCCATGGCAACACCCAACAGTACTTCCCCTTTCCATGGCAATGACCCAACCACCCAGAAGTTACCACCCTTTTCATAGAAATTCCTGCATAATCTTCCCTTTAATTTGCATATGATTAAAAGTGGCTCTAAATAGGACTGAGCACTGTCTCTGAGCTGCTGCTCTGGTCACACTCCCTGCAGCCCCTCTGCTGCTGTGCACGGCTGCTTCAAAAAAAGCTGCTGTCTGCCACCACCAGCTCGCCCTTGAATTCTTTCCAGGGTGAAGCCAAGAACCCTCCCGGGCTAAGCCCTGATTTTGGGTCTCACCTGCCCTGCATCAGCCTCATGAGCTAACATGAAGGGGATACCCACTGTGGCTACGGTATGAGGACACCAGCAGTAGTAAACAGGAGTTCCAAGGCTTTTGCTGCCTGCAGGCCTGAGAAGGTTTTGTTTTGGCATGGGAACCTGAGCTGAACCTTGGGGGACAAGTGGGTTTTGTATTAAGGAGAAGATGCAGAAGAATGGCTAGAGGAGAGAGTTGTCTTAGAAAGTGCAAATCCTGACATTTTCCAGTTACATAGCCTTGGGGAAGTAACTTAACCTTTTAGGCTTATTTCCTTGTCTGTCAAATGCAGGCAGGGGTAGTGTCTACTTCATAGGGTACTTGGGGAAATTAACAAGTAACACAGTGCCTGAAATGGCCATTAGTAAATATCATGTCGGAGATGGTGAAGAGCAGGGCTTAAGTCAGGGACTTAGGAAGGTCCCATGGAGATGGGGAAATTCGATTCAGAGGCCACCACAGCCAGTTTGTGGGGTGTGGCTCTCATTCTGGAGCCTGGGCTGTGATTTTTTTGTTCATTTACTGAGCACCTAGTATGTGCAAGACACATTTATTTAATCCCTTTTGGGTGAATGCAGAAATCAGTGCTCCAAGAGACTAAACTTCTGAGACCCCTGCTGTAGGGAGCAGGGCTGTGGCAGGGGGAGATGGGAACTTGGAAAGGGGCTGGGGAATGGCTCAGGCTCCAGTGAAACCAGGCGTAAGGAGGTGAAGTGAGAATGAGGTTGACGGCCTGGGGCAGGTAGCAGTGAGGGCAGGTGCTTGGGCCAGGATTGGGGATCCATGGGTGCTCCCATGGCCCTGCAGGGCAGACCTGCTGGCAGCCTGACCAGGTCAATTTTAAGCCATGGGAGAAGGGGTGGGGGTGCTGGAGGAAGCAGGGCCTCCGTCAGACCCTGATGGATGGAGTGACACAGGTGACGTGGCATCAGAAATGCCCCTGCCTGGCCTCAGACTAAGTCCTCAGAGTCTGAGGCCACGTGTGGAACTGGCATTTCCTGAGGCTGATGGATGAATCCCTTAACTGCTGGGCTCAGGCCACTGCCCCCCACCCCCACTCCCATCCCTTCCCTGTGAACTGCCACCTCTGTACAACCCCCCAAAGGGCAGCTCTGGCCCCCTTGGATTCTGGAAACACCCTGGCAGGCACTGCTCCTCAGCTTCTCTGCCTGCCTGCCTGCCCCCTGCCCTTACCTCCTGCCCCGTTCCTCAGGCTGCACTCAGATGGCGCCTTCCCTGTCTCCTGTGCACATCTGAGTCATGTTTAGACCGACCCCTCACCCACTTCCCGGCTCCGTTTTCCTCGGGGTCACCTGTGACGTCCCATCTATTGTGCGATTGTAGCTGATACCCGTCTCCCCTCCTGCAGTGCCAAGGCCTTCCATCCCCCTTTCTATGGAAGCACCTAGAATAGCGTGGCACATGAGACCAGAGGAATGAATGGATGAGCCAGTGAGCAGGGCTGCGTGTTCAGACAACCAGGGCTGCATGGCTCGCCCCAGGGATAAAGGCAGATGCAGAGGCACCTGGGTAGAAGTGAAGGCTGAGAGGAGCCAGCTGAGGACACCAGACCCCTCCCCTAGGAGAGGTCCCCAGTCTGGGAGGGAGGAAGGGGGAGGAGACTCGGCTGGACAGTCTTCTGAAGGAAGTGGTGTGGCACTGTGCCTCGGCTTTCAAAGGTCTGGCAGTTTCAAGGTGGTGGCAGTTTTGAAACTCAAAGCAAAAGTGATGTGGCCTCGGATGAGGCCCCACTCAAAGCCGGAGCCCTGCTGGCGCGGGGGGCGCGGCCAGCGGCCGAGGAGCAATGTGGACCTGCTCAACAGCCTTCTCTTTCCAGAGGCCGCTGGCTCACCCCGCGGGAATGAGGTGGCACTTCAGGACATGAAGCTTGGAGCTGGTGGCAGATTTCTTGGAACCGCCGGCGGGGAGATCTAAATTAAGAGCTTTGTATCACACCAAATAAATAGAAACTGAAATAGAGGACTGAAGGAATGAGGCAAAATGCCTTCATACATAACTTCTGAAAAATGGAGTGGGGAAAAAACCCAGAATGGTATTTATGCCCTGGAGTCCCAAGGTATTTGCAGAAAACAATGACAGGCCTGTTTGACACAAAAGCACATGTGAGAGAGAGCAAGCTTGTCTCTGAAGTGCCTGCCACAGGAGCCGGTAACACATACCAGCCACTCATTGCCAAGGCTCTCTTGGCAAGGCCCAGGGACCAGCCCTGTTTCAAGCCCTGTCCATCCTCTGGGAGGTAAGATGAGTCACCTCTGGCATGGACACGTCCTCCCGGTGGCTTCTTGATGGGCACCTTTGAAACAGACCTGCTCTGCATTCACATGTACGCTCACGGGCAGGGCCTGGCCAGAGGCAGGAAGGGGCTTCCTTGGTGTTTGGTAGCATAGGACCTATCATGGCAGGGACAGAGGTGCTGCTGGAAGGGGCTTCCAGGGAACTGCTAAGGGGCTGATGCAGCAGCAGATGTGGCCTCTCTCTGGGCCAGCAACGCTGCAGAGAGCAGTGTCTTCTTCCCAGAATTTCAGAGAACCGGGTGAGGCCAGGAGGTGGCCGGGGACGTGAGGACGCTTGCCAAAGAGCCGTGGGAAGGAGCTGACTCAGCAGAAATCATCCCAGTAGGGTTTGCTCAGTGCCTGAATCACCATTTCAAATGTGAAATGAGAATGGTACCAAGGGCACCTCCGGCACCATCAGACCAGCAGCACTCCAGCTTTACCAGCTTCTCCAGGGAAGCAAAGCAGCATTTGCCAGTGACTGTGGTGTAAGTCCAATGGTTGATTTCAAGCTACCAGTGTGACCCCACTACACGCAGAGTTGGGAAGAGCCGCATTATACAGTATTTCCACCCTACAGATACTATAGACCTCAGCGATACCAGCATAATAAGCTGAGGTAACCAGGATTACATTGGTTTTTTGATATAAGTATATATATAATTCAAATGTTTCTGTTTTTTGAAACAGGGTCTCACTCTGTGACGCAGGCTGGGGTGCAGTGGTGTGATTACAGCTCACAGCAGCCTCAACCTCCTGAGCTCAAGTGATCCTCCCACCTCAGCCTTCCCAGTAGCTGGGATTACAGGCATGCACCACCATGCCAGCTAATGTTTATTATTTGTAGAGATGCGGTCTCACTATGTTGCCAGGGGTGGTCTTGAACTCTTGGGCTCAAGCAATTCTCATGTCTCAGTCTCCCAAAGTGCTGGGATTACAGGCATGAGCCACCATGCCTGGCCATAATTTACATTTTAATAGCAGCTGTGTTTTATAGCCAGCCCAAAAAAATTCTAACAGTTTAACAATTGGCTGTCGTTATCGAGACTCAGTATGACTCTCGTACCCCAGACCTTCACCCATGCCCCAGAGAACAGCAAAACAGGTGCTTGCTAAGTACATGGTCCCAGCTGCCAGAACCAGGAAACTTCAGGACAACTTAAAATACCCTGTGTAATGGTCCGTTCTCATGCTGCTACAAAGAACTACATGAGATGGGGTAATTTATGAAGAAGAGAGATCTGATTGGCTCACAGATCCACAGGCCTAACAGGAAGCATGACTGAAAGACTCAGGAAATGTACAATCATTTAGAAGGGGAAGGGGAACAAGCACATCTTACATGGTGGCAGGAGACAGAGCAAGCCAAGGGGGAATGCCACACACACTAAACCATCAGATCTCATGAGAACTGACTGTCGTGAGATCACATGGGGAAATCTGCCCTCATGATCCAACACCTCCCATCAGGCCCCTCCTCCAATTCAACATGAGATTTGGGCAGGGACACACATCCAAACCCTATGACTCTGCCAGCAATGCTTTACATTTCCTTAGTGATGGATTTTGAACAAATACAGCTATCAGAATGCCAACCCACTATCTCTAATGTCTTGGCATCTTTTTCTTCTGCTTTGTTGTATTCACTGTACATTCTGGAGGAGTCCTGTTGTAAGCGTGGATTACCAGCGATTTCCACTTCATGGCTGCCTTTTCACTAAGTTCTTAGTGCAACAAAATCCAGTTTATCAGCTTTTTATTCTTCGAGCTAGTGCGTCCTTAAAATCTTTGCCTATTCCAGGGGCAGGAAGATTGTCTGTTTTCTTATAGAAGCTGCATTATTTCACTCTCCATACTGAGGACTGTGATCCGTTGGGAACTGACATTTGTATATGCTGTGAGAGGTCAAGCTTCATTTCTTTTTTCTTTTTTTGAGACAGAGTCTTGCTCTGTTGCCAGGCGCCAGGCTGGAGTACAGTGGTGCAATCTCGGCTGGCTCACTGCAATCTCCGCCTCCTGGGTTCAAGCAGTTCTCCTGCCTCAGCCTCCCTAGTAGCTGGGACTACAGGCACATGTCACCACACCCAGCAAATTTTTGTATTTTTTGGTAGAGACGGGGTTTCACCATGTTGGCCGGGATGGTCTCGGTCTCTTGACCTCATGATCCGCCCGCCTTGGCCTCCCAAAGTGCTGGGATTACAGGCGTGAGCCACCACACCCCGCCCCTTCATTTATTTCCATATGGAAAGCCCAAATTATTCTTGTCTTTTTGTTTTGAGACAGGCTCACTCTATCACCCAGGCTGGAGTGCCATAGGAGAGTCTCAGCTCACTGCAACTTCTGCCTCTCAGGCTCAAGAAATGCCCCCACCTCAGCCTCCTGAGTAGCTGGGACCACAGGCATGTGCCACCATTCCTGGCTAATTTTTGTATTTTTTGTAGACGGGGTTTCACTACATTGCCCAGGATGGTCTCAAACGCCTGAGCTCAAGCAATTCACCCACCTTAGCGTCCCAAAGTGCTGGGATTACAGGTGTGAGCCACTGGGTCCCAGCCCCTAAATTATTATTATTAACATAGCTAAAAGTCCTTTTTTGCCTTGATGGTTTATCAATCAGATTTGATTGACGGATGACTCATTAGGGTTTTCTAGTTTACTATTGTTTAATTTCTGCATTCTTGCTAAGTAATTTTTTTTCACCTTTAAAGGGAAAATAGGAAGAGACAGTATAAAGTGGAGGCAATGGGCCAGGTGTGGTGGCTCGTGCATATAAACCCCTGCACTTTGTGAGGCCGAGGCAGGTGGATCACCCGAGGTCAGGAGTTCAAGACCAGCCTAACCAACATGGTAAAACACTGCTTCTACTAAAAATATAAAAATAAGCTGGGCGTGGTGGGGTGGCGTGCACTTGTAATTCTAGCTACTTGGGAGGCTGAAGCAGGGGAGTTGCTTGAACCCAGAGGTGGAGATTGCAGTGAATGGAGATTGCGTCACTGCACTCCAGCCTGGGCCACGGAGCGAGGCTCCATCTCAAAAAAAAAAAAAAGAGGTGACAGTGGAACAAAGGGAAACAGCTGTCTCCCTAACCCGGGAGTCTGGACTGCACACCTCCACTGCAGTGAGCCCTGCCCAGGCCCAGCAGTGCTCCAGCGCAACCCCCAGCGCGCCCCACAGGGCTCGGATCCTGAACCCAAATGGGATGGGAGAGGTTGGCTCGAAACTACTCAGTCAGGTAATTTGGGAAAGCCAAAAGGTAAAATGACCCATTGCTGTAGAATCACAATATTCCTGAAGTCAGTTCAGGGAGATCCCAGGAACAAAGCTGTTATTTCCAAATGACTGAGGCGATTTGATTTCTTCTTGCCCTTTTCACCACTGGGGCATGTTCCAGTCTCGGCCACACTGAGGAAGCGGACTTCCTGATCTAACGCAGGCTTTACTACTGTATCGTCCATTCTTCCCCATGCAATTTCCAGGCCCTTAACCTCAGTGACAGCTAGTAGCTCCAGTTACCGTGAGTCTGTGTGCCGGCACTACGTGGAGCAGTAGTAAATTCACCAGGAATTTACTCATCTTCCCCACTTCTCCCTCCGAGCCCTTCTCGTGGCCTGAAATTACATATTTATTTGTGAGTGTCTACTCAACTGAAAGACATGTTTCATAGGGTCCTTGTCTGCTTTACAATTGTATCAGAACATCTAGCCTGGTACCTGGCATGTACATGATAGGTACTCAGTACACTTGCTGAATGAATGGTTCCCAGTTTGCAGTGGTGCGCACAGCAGGCCTTGGCCATTCTTCCCTGCAAAGCACATAAGGTATATGGTGACCGAATGCGGACCTCTCCCCTCAGCCAGTCACACCAGATTGAAGAAAATAAAAAGGAACTAGACATGATGGATGGCCAATTCTTTTTATAATTCTTCTTTCAATTAAGTATGTTGCACAAGTGTTTCAAATACCTAAATATATTTCCCGTTTGTTTCACGAGGGGTCATACTGTGGATGTTTTTTGGTCCCCATTATGAGCAACCATCCCATCAGGTTATGGCCTCTGCCTTTCAGCCCCATGAGTAAGTACCTGAGAATGACAGAAGGAACTTCCATCTTTGAATTGTGTTTTCTAGTGTTTCCTTTAATCCCCTTCTGTAGTCATCTGATTGAAAAACTACTCTGAAAAATTCTTTTTTTTTTGA